ACATTATGTAAAGTTTGTTCAATGAGATTTAGATAAAGCACCCCAATTGCCATCTTGACGTGCAGGGATACATGAGCTGCTTTGGGTGCTTTGAAGTGCTTTAATTAGAGCAGCTCTCAGACCCACTCTAATTAAAGTGCTGCCACTCCTGGAGCATGTGCAAAAACACCCTTTGTGAGTACTATCCATCCTATTAACAGTGGCGAGGCATAGGGGGTGCCTGGGGAGAGTGCTGGTGCTCCCTCTGTCAGGCCGTGCTCACCGTTCAGGCGACAGGCAGGGGAGCAGGTGGGAGCGCTGGCCGGGGAGCGTGCCCCCCCATGGTTGTTGACTGGTGTCGGGGGGGGGGGGGCACATACCGCCCCCCCCGGCTCAAGAGGCACCAGTTGCCCATGTATTAACAGAATGAAGCAGGGACACCCTGAATATTTAGTATGTGATTATGAAGTTTAAGCATTATTATATGGAATGAATGAACCTTGCAGTATGTCTGCACTGCATTTTATTGCATGTCCTTGAGGTCTGTAACATTTCAGATGTATATATCCTAAACAGCTGGAAAAAAGCTTCTTTAAACTTCATATGGCAGCTACTCTAACATGAATTCCACAGATCTAGATTCCATGTGTTGTTAAAGTTAAAACTAACATCTTTTGATCATGTGAAAAAAAAGTAATTCTCCCACTTTCTCCCAGAGCCTGGCCTTCCAAAAACTCAGCATGGAATCCAGACTGCTCGGTGGCAGTGGTGCCTGCAGAGATCCTCCTGGACGCTCCTTTCTAGCACAGCAACGGCATGTCACCAACACCAGAAGAAGTCTTTCAGTTAAAGTACCTGGTGCAACATCAGATTAAATTGCAAAATAAATGTCTACACTAAAGTGTCCTTAAAGAAAATTTTGTAGCTTCCATTTTAAGTACCTGACAAAAGAGGTAGTTGTGATGCTGGGCATCTAATATTTTAACATCAAAGCTTATTGGATATATTGATGTATCTGGTCAGTGGTATCTAAGAAGCATTGTGTAACAACTTTCCTAGGTCAACATAGGTTTAATAACTGAAGTGTGTGTTTTACAAGCACAACTTTAAAGATGTATATTTGTCTTCAGAGTATATTGTACATAAATACAACAAATTGGCACTATATATTTAAAATTATATTTAATGTTTTCAGTCTAGAACGTTGAAGACTGATTTTTAACAGAAGAAAAATTTTATGATGAATCATACTTCAGAAAACTTTCAACACTAGGTATTTTTGTGCAGTTCTTGATAATTAAAAAAAAACAACCAGTAGTTCGGCTGGAGGAGTCCAGATTTTTAAAATTGTGCATTTGCAATTCAGATTGATTTTTTGGCTTGCAAAACAGGTTAGTTTAGTGACTGGGATTTAACTTTTATGAGAGAAGACATATTTGTCACAATCTCATTTTGTCCCAAGGCAGAAGGATTTTATTTATTTTAAATGATTAAACCATTTAAACTTGTGTGTATTCTGACTAAAGAAAACCTGTTTTTGCGGTGTTGAATTCACTAAAAGCAAAAAAAAAAAAAAATCCATCTTCATTTATGAAATAGTTCTGTTTTTAAGAAACAAAACAAAGCCCAAACTTATCTTTTTAAAAATTTGCTGTAGGTTTCTTTTTCTTTTCTTTTACTATATTGTTCATTAGGTGGAGCCATGCCCTCATATTTATTTAATTCAGTTAAACATCACGCCACATAGAACTTGATCGTTCTCATTCTTTAGTTACGTATTTTCTGTTTAGTTACTCTGCGCTGGTACACCAACTGCGAAGCGGGTAGGCCTTCTTTTTTAATTGATTAGCAGCATAGGCTGTTCAGCCTGGAAAAAGTTCTGAAGCTGCACTATATCTAGTATCCCATACTGCTGACGGTGAAAATGGGATTGGTGCGAAATTCAATTTTTGTTTTTTATCATTCCCCGCAGCACTTAAGTTGACATTTTGTATAAAAATGTCTTTTTGCATTAAGAGTGTATTAAAAAAGCACTTTTTAAAAAAAACCTATAGTTTGAATTTTCTGTGATGCTTCACAGACTGACTAAACCAGTTGAGCACGTGTGGTAAAATAACACAGTAAATAAAATTGCTTACCTGCATGTAGTTCATTATAGTAATTGCAATCACCTGCACGCATAAAAACAAGTGTTTGTGTGTCTTCAACGTTAAAGCCATCTTCGTATGAAAGTTGGGCTCAGGTCTGCTTTGCAAAATTAAAAAATCGTCCTATTGTTGAGTTTGTAATGAAATGTGAACATTAAATGGCCTCACAGATCATTGGATAATTTACACGAATTTAAAAGCTTATTCCTTGACATCTTGCTGCTGTATGGTCCTGAGATTGAACTGGGCCTCCTGCATGATGCGGCAGAAGAAGGATAATTATCCATTATTAGTGTTCTTTAAAAGTATTTCTTCAAAAAAGTGTGTTGCTCTGGTTACAGTATTACAAATACAGGCACTCAATTTAAATTTCCTCCTAAAATGTTTCACGGAAAGCTTTATTTAAAATCGAATCCGATTCTAATTGTACTGTTCCTGTGATCATGTAAAACACTTGTTGGGTAATTTGTGTCTTTCATGTTCTGTTTGGCAGGACTCTGCTTCTTTTGACTACCTCTGGGATTTTGAAGTCTTTTGCTGATGTATTGATATTGCTATTTTATGTTTGGTATGTTTTTAAGCTTTGATTGCCTGCTAATCTTATTCAGATGAGAGGGTAAGGGAAGGGACTTCAGCAGCTGTCGTAACACAATGTTTGTGTTTCAAAAGTGGTACTTTGGCATGTTCTCGGCCAGAGTAGGACAAAATTATTACTAATAGCATTGTAGGTATTTTGTTCCTGTATTTCTGCACATAACTCTTAAAAGATTTTCTTCTTGAAGCATTTGTCTGGACTGTTGTCTTGATGCACTCTGTCATACTGTATTATACTAGAAATGCAATGCTAATATCAAAAGTCAAGTACTAGTAAAAATAGAACTTTTCAATAAATGCCTGTAATTAAAACTTTTCAAAACTGCAGACCTAAGTACCAAAACACTGAGTACAGATAATGGTGTTTTTACTTATCTGAAGCTATGCCTTCTAAGCACTAAAATTTCACGTAGGTATTCAAAGACAGGTGGTGATGTCAGGGAATGGTTATCCATAATAATGCCCATGCCTATTTCAGTGAGGTGTCAGATGAAAATTACCTGAGTTAGAATTATTGAAATAAGTAAAACTCTAGGCACGTGACTATTAGTTTTATTTAGCTTTTTTGAAGCCTAGTAAGAAAATAATTTTCACAGGACTGTTGAAACCTCCTGTGAGTGGCAGAGAAGATTAGGAAGAGAATATTCAGGATGATCTATTAACAAACTATACATTTCCACCTTTGTTAAGTTTGTGCAGGAGGTACAGTAACAAGGATTTAAAAAATAACTTTTGATTTTGACTGTGTTCTGAGAACGTGTATTCTTGGCAGACCTCCTTCAAAATATTTAATGGCTTAGATTTGAATTGCTGAACTGTGTGTGTTTGGTTTTGTTCTCAGATTTTCATCATATGGAGAGTTGTTGGATTACTGATTATTGTTGGCATGATACAGAGAGGGGGATATTTGTATATTATAGCAAGAATAACTCATGTCACACCCAGATGTCACAGTTATGAAGGCATGCAGATTATTGAGATAATTGAATATTGTTCTGTTTCTTCGTATAGCTAAGAGTGTTGGAAGGCAATAACTCTGTGATTAATAGGTAATAAAGAGCCAATGAAGAGGAGAAAAAGTCCTTGTTTTTAATTACCACTTCAAGGATAGACATTCTGGCTGGGGTGGGTTTGATTTTACATTATAATAAGATTTGTATGGGATTAACTGACGAAAACTATTTTGAACCTGGCTGTTCAGGTTGGTCTCTGTTAATAATCTTAATTTGGGATTATTAGATTTCTCATGCTCCAGGGTTCATAAGAGAGCAGTTTTGAGAAGTTTCTTTTAACATGTATTTTATTAGCATGAGTCATTCAGTAAAAAAATTAACAAAGCTTTCCTCTGCATTTGTTGTTCTGCAAGAAATATGTCAAAGTATTCCATTTTCTGTTGTAATCACTTGGGAAAAACTACTTCAAGCAATACTGATGTTTTAAGTAGCCCTAGCATGCTTAGGGGATTTTTAAAAAGATTAAAATAACCTGTCAGTTTAATTGTCATGGCTGGGAAGTAATTTTTAAACCTTTTGGTCTTCTTTCTACTGATCTGCCAGGTTTGAGGTTTTCAGTGTGTCGATGTCTACTTCCTTTGTTTAAAACAAATGTAAAGACTGTGTTACTGTGTAGAACTGGAAGAATGTTGCACTACTTTTTAAACTCCGGTTTTATTTTGTCTTTGGAAAATAATCTTTTATATTCACATAAAAAAATTCAAATGAATTCAGTGCTCTCTGTAGTGTGTTTGTTAGCCTTTAGTTTAAATTCTTTTGGGGGGCAAAATCCATACCTCCCTCTGAATTTTTACAGTGTTTGTCATGGCTGGCATCTCCGGGTGGTATCAGAATGCAGCTATTCATTCCAGGTAGAACAGTGCTAACATAGCTTTGCTATTTCCACTCGTCACGCTCGCTTGTTGAGAACCAGCTGGTGTATATTTACTATGCAGCAAGGCAGTGTTTTGCATAGATAGACCCATATTTCCTCCATGCCTTTCTGCGCTCATATATCTAGTGAAGCTGCTCAGCTAACTTATCTTGGTCTGGTTCTCCACATGCCTTCCACTTCTTGAGGAATACCCACTGGTAATCACGTGACTCCAGTCTCTTTTGGGGTTGTGCCCTGCACTTTCTCTGCTCTGTATCCAGCTGCAACTGCCTGGGGCCACTTTATAAAGACCCTGCGGTGTCCATGTTATTGCACACTGCATTTTTTTTCCTTCCTCTCAAGTTCTCGGTTCATTCTAGTATTCCTTATTATAGTTATGCCACTTGGCAAGGAAAAAAGGCCTTCAGCTCTGGGTGTGCTCTTACTACTAGACTCCTGGATGGGGAGGGGGGTGTCATTCCCAGGGTTAAATGATACCCTCTTGTGAGTCTGCTATTCCTGGTAATGAGCATTTTGTCTCAATGAAGCACATATCCATCAGCGGGAAGGCCAGTCTCAGGACTATTTAGATTGAACAAGACCATTCAGATATTTTGTTTCCTAAGATGCTTTAAGTGGGTTCTGCACTAGATGATAATTCGTTTCAAGCCATCTTCCTGGTTTAGAGCCAGAGTTCAAACATCTTCTAGAACCAGTATACCCCATTAGCATGGCACTGTCTGAACTAGCTTACTGTATTGAGGAAAAGTTTATTTAGAGCTAGCTCAGATGTCCCCTGATACAAAACATCATGCCATGCTGAATACCTCCACTTGTAGGGCAACTATCTAGAGCAGAGCTGGCCACCTGGACATTGGGGGCGGAGGTGTTGCATGCATATGGGTTGCACATTAAGTGCACAGCTGAGCTCTCCCTCTACCACACAAATGTCCTGCCACCTCGCCCCATCCTAGAGAAAGGAAGAAGGAAGCCTGGAAAACCTGGTCACCACTGCAGCAGGGGCCATGGAAACTGGAATATTTCCGTTTTGAAGCTACAAAGCTGCAAACTTTGCTACACACCTCTGAGATATGGATGCAATAGTCGAAGTTCTTGGGAATCCGTAATTATAGCTGCTTGTAGCCAAATTGTATAAAAATGGTTTTAAAAAAGGGTGAATCACAAGGTTAGTTTTCACTTGGGACACAGTAGCTATTTGCTCATGTGTGGGGCCCCTTGAAAGCATTTTTTAAGGGACTATTACTCTTTTATCACTGTATCCTTTGGGGCAAGACAGTAGTAGACAGAATGAAGAGTAGAGTCATCCAAAACGAATTGCCTAGGAGAGCAGCCAGAAATTGCTAGAGATTCCTATATTGTATATCCTTAGAATTGTCTTTTGTTGATTGCTGTCCCAGTTTTTTATAGCTTACCTGTGTTTAAGAAGATAACGAGTCTTCCTCTTAGCTTTTAATTATTACTCAGTGGGCGCATGTACATGTTGCCCTACGGCGCCGTAGTGGCATGCTGCATTGCCATACAGCACGCTACGATGATGTAGCAATCACATGGGTCTACATGTGATTGGCAGCTACATCGCCATAGCAGGCTGTG